ACTTCCCATAAGCCAGTCAGCTTCACCTCTTGAGGCAATTCCGTAATAAATGAAGTAGTTATATTTTCTACTGTTGCTCGGTAGAATCATGAGAAACTGGCTTTCCTCCATCATGGTTTGGAAGCAGCATTATATTCGAAGCAGCTATCCAGGAATTGAATTTAGAAGGGTAACCTCGCCAGCTGACGAAAAATTCTTTATTAGCCCCTCGTCCTCGGCATCGTATCACCTTATCCACGATAAATTCTTCTTGTAAGTTTTTGTTTACCCCGGTTAGTTCTTGCTTGTAGAATATCCCATCGATCACTTCAACTGACAGATCACGTAATTCGTACACACGAGGATTTCGCCATTCGAGAATACGGTGAATACGAAATATTTTTTCCGTCCAGTTCGCCTCATATCCTTTCTCAAAATTCCTTTCGTTCTACTGACACGCACTAGTGTGCCCATTTTGTATTTAGCTCCTCGACTATGATTTCTTCGATCGAGTTTATCGAGATGATGGTATCGCTGCTGCATATGTTCACGAGCGATGCGTGCGTTTTCCAACGTGACGCTTGCCGATTCCACTTTAATGGTGGAATGTCGAGTGTGGTTATAAGCATGTACGATGCATTGCAAAACATCTATGTAGCGATGTGTATTTTTGTATATAAAATAGCGCCATAAGCGTTCTTTGAGCGTTCTATTGAAGCGTTTGATCACCGCTGCTTTGACATCAGGATTTCGCACCGTGCGAAAACTTATGTTCTTTTCCTTCAGAAATTTTTGAAATGCTTGACCGATGAATTCTTTACCCTTGTCACTCTGTAATCACACCGGTACTAGCCCTCCGCTTCTTGAGAGCACGTGACGAAAAGCTTCCGTCATGCAGGTCGAAGTCTTACTTCATATTGGTTCTACCCATATAAATTTGCTAAACACATCGATGATTGTCAACAAGTAACAATAGCCCTCATTGTAATTTCGGAGATTAGCGAGTTCGACCAAATCAGCCTCCTACAGATTGTCGATATTCGTGACGTTGTAATGCAAACGTGGAAATTTATGCCGTGTCGGACGATGAAATGTGTATGCATTCTGCGACTGAAGCCAACGAATAATCTCTTCACGTGTGGAGCCAGGTCCTGCTGCTCGCGAAAATTTTTTATCACAGAGTATCCCGTATAGTGTGCACGATCGTAATAGAATTTTACGAGGTCGGTCATTCCAGTATGTTCCAATTGATGAAACGTCTTTTACTCGCTGATTTAGAAGCGTTGTCGTTCACTCGCGTTTTACGCTTATGTTGATCGGAAGTTATAAATGTCGCGTGTATATGCTCTGCGTCGCGTTCTTCAGCGAGAAATGTGTCTCTGATAGTACGTTTGCACGTTCGTCCTTTCGCTGATGGAAGTCGATGTGCATAGCTGTTAGCCGCCGAAGAAGCTATACTCCATTCTAGCGGGTTCCAATCTATCACGCGTCTTTTACTCATAGATTTAGAAGTGTCATCGCTCATTCGTGTTTTATTTCTATTCTCATTGGTTGTTACAAACAGAGCCCGTCCATCCTCGTGATCTTTTTCTTCAAGCGACGTCTGGGCAATCTTACGTTTAGACCAAAGCTGCTCGTTAGGTGATGGGAGTGGAGTGCTGCTACCTCTCGGAAGAGTTTCTCTTAATCTCGCGGAAAGATCATTTTTTTCCGTGACTTCTTCCAGTAATTCTCGATTTCCTACAAATTTCGGAGGAGTACCCACTTCACGCAAAAGTCGTGCAAACTGTACTCTCGCTACTGCTCTGCTAGTTTTTCGTTCACGAGCCGCGTCGTTCAAGAGGTCGATGATATTCGATCCGCTCAGAATTCTATCATCTATAGTCACGAATCCTTTTTTTTGGTCACGCAGGGGAAATCCATCAAAGATACCCCCCGACCCTTGAGGGGGTCAGGGGGTTATGTCGGACTTTTCCGACTAAAACCCCTGCCAGATGCTTACCTGTCAGACCGATGAGAGGGGAGTTAGTGGAACTACTCCCGTATTCCCTCCCCAACCTCCCGGCTCCAGGGGGCTCAAGGGAGCCCCTCGCCATCAATACACCGCACCCTGTTCCACCAAGGGAATCCAGGATGCGGTTCCCAGTCGATTGCTCGACCGTTGGCCTTCTAGTTTCGCCTGAGGAGAGAGGGGACATCCGCCCTCCCTCCTTACCCCTCCTCCATGCTATTCAGGGCGGAGAGGGTTTTTGGGGAGTTGGCCCACCCCCAAGTGGGCTTCCCACACCCCCCTGTCCCTACTTGTCCGACGCACAGGGGGGAGACCGGACTCCGCTTACGCGGAACTCCCGGCTCCCCCCTGCGGACGGAGACGGGCCCGAGGCGACCGAGGAGGAGGACTTGTCCCACCGCTAGCCAGTGGTTCATCCTCCTCCTCGGCCGGCATCACTTCCGGCCCGCTACCCATCCCCCCCGCCGGGAAGCGACGACCACCCCGCCGCCTCCTGCAGCGGGTTCCCAGTCGTCGCTCCCACTCGGCGGCCTCCTTCTTGGACATGACGTCCCTACAGAAGGAGGCCGCCGCTTCCTATTCCTTCTCGCTCCCGCACATGGCCTTGATCATGCGCGTAAGCGAGATCTCCCCCTCGCGACACCCCACCGCCCCGGCCAGGACACGGCGCTCCTTCCTCCAGGCTGTACAAGCAGCCAGAGTGTGGTGCGCCATGTCCATCAGCACGGGGCAGTGGTGGCATCGGGTGGTGGGCTCCTTGCCTATCCGGTGCAGGTACGTCCCGAAGCAGCCATGTCCGGTCAGCACCTGCACCAGATGGAAGGTCAATCCGCACCCCCTCCTGCCTTCCAACTCTGGCAGGCAGGGTCCGACAGCCTCGACCGTCTGTCGCCCGTACCCCCGTGGGTCGGACAGGACGTCCCCCCACTTCTCCAGGATACGGGCAACGGCCTGGGACTTCAGGGCCTTCAGGCCCCTGGCCGTTAGCATCTCCTCCTCGCGGAGCTCCTTTGTCCTCCAATATAGGATTTGCCTCTCCTCGGCGATGAGCTCCACAGGTGGGGACCCGGCCAGAGTGGTCGCCGCCATGTATGATATTGTGCGGAACCCTCGGACCACCCTTATGTACATATGCCTCAGAGCCTGCCGCATTGGATGTTTCCCGTCGCGGCAGGCTGGAGCTGGGGCGCCCATATTGGCGCCCCGTATAGGGCGACCGAGAGGACCGCACTCACATACAGGCGGCGAGCCCTCCATCCTGGGCCTCCTTGGGCGCACAGAAAACTGGCCACCGCCAGCCCGGCTCTGCGCACCCTAGGGGCCAATTGCCTGAAATGTGGTCCAACGCCCCATCGGCTGTCCAACGTCAGGCCGAGATACTTCATCATCGGTCTGACGCGGATGCGGACGCCATCGACTAGGACCAGCGTCTTAGGTGGCACCCCTCGACTGCCGTCGTGAAAAAACACGGCCTCAGTCTTCTGGGGCGCCACCTTGAGACCCAGGTCCCCGATGGTTCCTACCACCGATACCTACCGCCGTCTCCGCAAGGAGGCGGGCTACCCCCAGTTCTCCGCCCCGGCCGCCACCAACGTGTCGTTCGCGTAACAGACGACGTGGCAGCCTGCGGGGAGCAGAGTGCGCAACACCCGGTCGAACGCGATGTTCTAATGCAGGGGGCCGAGAACGGAATCCTGCGGAACACCGCGCTCCATCCTGCGCCGGCCTTGGACCCCGTCCTGTTTCGGGAAGGCAAGGTCCCTGATCCCCGAAATACGCCGCTATTATGTGCCGGAGATAGACGGGCACCCGGTGGTGTTCGAGGGCCCGTCCAATCTCCGGCCAGGGCAGGGTGTTGAAGGCATTCTTGATGTCCAAGGACACCGCCAACAACACCCCGCCTCTTCTCTCCACGACCGCCTGGGCCAGGTCCCGGAAGCATTGGATAGCATCCAACGTCGATCTTCCGGGCCCGTATTGGCGGTCGTGGAGATCCGGCCTCTCCGAGGACAGATGCTGGACGAGGCGGTCAGCAACGATGCGTTCGAACATCTTGCCCGCCTCGTTCAGCAGGCATATCAGCCTATAGACCGACGTAGTCCCGGGTGTTTTGCCCTCTTTGGGGAGGAGGACCAGTTTGGCCCTCCTCCACACTGGGGGGAATACCCCCTTCTTCAGGCACCCGCTCAAAACCCAGCACGTGGCCGCGAACAGGCTTCCCTTGCCGAGGGCGACAGCCCAAGCGCTACCAGGAATTCCGTCGGGGCCAGGGGCTTTCCCCTTGGCCTCGAGCTTCTTCCTGGCCTTGACGAGCTCCTCCGTGCTCACCGCCAAGTCCTCGTCCCAATCTCCCTCTCCCATTTCTGGGAGTGGGATCCTGGGAGGACCCCCTTCCGCCCTCGGAAAGAGGGCGTCCAGGAGTCCTTCGAGGGTCCAACGTCTCCGTCGGTGGGGGCGCCCAGGGGAGGATCTTGCCCATCGCCCTCTTGTACGAGCGCCCCAACGGATCGTCGTCCAAAGAGCTCATCAGCTGCTTCCAGGCTGTTCGCTTAGCCTCGACGATGGCGTCATGGAGGGCCTTCCTAGCGGCTAGGTAGCCCTCCTTCGCCCTCGTGTCGTCCCCGCCTCTTCGCAGGGTCCGGGTAATAATGCCGCCTAACCTGGACGGAGGAGTCGCAGAGTACCGCTATTTCCTCCGTCCACCAGTAAGCTATCCGGCGACGGCGGGGGTGGGCTTGGGACATCGCGACATCGCACGCCGACGCCACGATACCCACTATTTCCCCAGCCCCCAGGAGGGGCTGGGGGCCCACCCACCCGGCTCCTCATCGAGGTGCCATGTGGCCACGAGGACAGCCGCTCGAAACCTGTCCGTGTCCATTCGACTGATGGTCCATCTCCTGGGGAGGAGTTAGCCCCCCTCTCCAGGACAGCGAAGGGCCCGCACCCGTGGAGGTTTGGGGAGGCGAGGGGCCCACACTATGTACCTGTGGTCGGACAGTGTTTCGCCCTACACCTCCACCTTCCACTCCTGGAATAACCAGGCGGCCGAAGGAAAAGCCCAGGTCAGGTCAATGACCGACTCTCCCTCAGGCTGCACGCAAGTGCTGGCTGACTCCCTGTTCATTAACAGGAGGTCCAACCCCACTGCCCAGTCGATCACCGCCTCGCCCCGAGGATCCCTCTGCCGGGGACTGCAACCCCACCCTTCCGAGTGGGCGTTGAAGTCCCCGGCTATGACGACGAGTCGGAGGTGGTACTTCCGCACCACATCCCCGATCCCGTCGAGGACCCTCTTGATACGGACGAGGCGACGATCCGAGACCGACTATATTTTTGTGGTGGTGGAGATAAACTCCCATCACTGTGATGGGCCCGTAGTCAATCGCCACAAACGAGGACCCCCTTTCCCTTAGTTCACAGGGAGGGGTCCTCGCACCGGGGTTTGCCACCACAGCGACCAAGCCGTCTGGGCTGCCGAACCAGCTTGCGCTGTTCCTCGGCACCCAATGCGGCTCGGTGGCCATCCTCAGCGCGGCGTCCAGCTCCAGTATCCTGTGTGACCACAGGTCCTGTGCCTGGACGCCGCCGCCGAGGTTGGCCTGTAGGACCCGGAGCAGCGCGAAGAGTAGGCCCTCTTCGCCTCCTCCGGGCTACCTACGTCTAACCCCTCCTGGGAGGCCTCTGGCGGCAACGCCGCATCGGCCTCCCCTGAGGGGGCTTCGGCCTTGGTGGCCTCTGTCGCGGGTACCTCCTCATGCGCGGAGTCACGGAGGGTCCCTACCTGAACGCTCTCCTCTCCTCGGGAGTATGGGGGGGTTCGTCTTCATGGGGAGTCGGGGGTGAAGCTTCCACCGGCTCCCCTTCCACTACTGTTGCTGGGGGTGTGTCCGAGGACTCCATCCTCCTCACCTTCCTGACGTCCTCCTTCGATGAGTCCCTCGTCCCAGGGTCGGGGTCCACCTTTCCCCTCCTCTTCCTCTGGGGCTGGAGTTCCACCTCTATCGGTTCCTGCTCTTCGATACCGGGGGTCGGACTCCATCCGTGCTCCCCTTCCCACTCCTGTGGGACCTCCGCGGCCTCCTTCGCCACGTCCTCCAGGTCCCCGGACGGTGGACTAGCCTGCCCTGGTCCGGTCGTCTCCTTAAGAGGGTCCCTCGTTGGGGAGATACCAGGGTCGTTACCTCCCATTGGCATTCCGGGGTCCGGTCGAACCTCCGCGCCCACCCATAATAAACCACCCATAACAAAACCCGTGGTGATGGGGCCCGTTAGCCTATTTTCCAGACACCCAACGAGGGGACGGAAAACCCTATGCAACACCCGGGTATCGAACTCGTTAATCCGGGAGGTTGCCAGACAACCCGACGAGGGGAAGAGAAACCCACTGTAAAATCCCGTGCTAGTGGGCTCGTGAACCTTGAACAACCTATTCCGGAGATTGGAAACTCCGTTATCAAATCCGGGCTAGGGCTCGAGAGCTTCACTTCGTGGACAAGCAACCTAGGTGAAGGGGAGGAAGAACCCCAATACAAAACCCGGGCATTGGGCTCGTTAGTCTGGGAGGTTGTCAGACTATCCGAAGAGGGGAAGGAAAACTCCCCCCCTCCTCCTTTGAGAGGAAAGGAAGTGGAGGTGGGTGTTCTGGTGGACATCCCGTCGTATGACGATAATCCTCCGGAACACCCACCCCCTCCAACATGGAGGACGGAGAAGGCAGAGGAAGAGTTGGACGCCGCCATGGCCGTCTCGGCTCATACTTGCGGTCATGGGGAGGAGCTCCGCCGTATGAGGGCGGAGCTCGACGCCCTTATGGCCGCGGGTGGAACGGGCGGGGCGGCTATGGCGGTGGGAAAGGAAGGAGGAGAGAAGGAGGTCCCGGACCAGCAGACCCAGGCCCCGAGGAAGTCGGAGCTGGAGCAGTTGGGGAAGAAGAAGGGGACCAAAAGTGAGAAGAGGAAGAGACAGAAAAAGAGAAGGAAGGAGAGGGCCAGAAGGATGAAGGAGTAGGAGGAGAAGAGGGCCCGAGAGGGAGGAAGCGGGATGACGGCCAAGGAGCTGCTGAAGGCGATACGGCGGTCACCTGGCCAACAGCAACAGGCACCAGTGGGTAAGGCAGAGGAAGTGGCTTGGTCCCAGGTGGTGGGAAGAAAGGTGAGGAAGGGAGGAAAGGGGGAGGAGGAAAAGAGAAAGGGGAATGCCCCATTCTCCACCCCTTCCCCTCCAAAACGAAAGGGACCCGGGAGGGGGACAGCTGCGGCGGCACAGGGCAGGCCGAGACCACCGCGCTCGGCGGCCGTCACCATCACGTGCCCCGACGGAAAATATGAAGCATTCATGCTAGAGGCCAGGCGCCGTATCAGGCGGCGGACCTGGGGATCAACGCGTCCCGATCAAGGGTCCGCCGGGTCCTGAGTGGAGCGATGCTCATTGAGGTGCCTGGCCTCAACATCGGGACGTCCGCCGACTAGCTTGCGGAGGAGCTCCGCAAGCTGGCGACGGACAAAGGCCCCGGTTATCGCGTCCAGCGGTCGGCGAAGTTCGTAGCATTGCGAATAGCCGACCTGGACGCGACGACCGGGGCCGAGGAGGTGACGGCCGCCGTGGCCCTCGCTGGGGGATGCTCGCCGGAGGATATCTCCTCAGACGAGATGAGTATCTCCCAGCGAGGAATAGGCGCAATGGTGGTGCGGTGTCCGCTGGCGGCGGCCGCTAAGGTCGCCGCCGCGGAGCGGGTCCCTGTAGGATGGACCCGCACCGGGGTGACGGCGCTGCCCGCTCGCGCGACGTTGTGTTTCCGTTGTTTGGAACGGGGACACGTGCGCGAGCGGTGCACGAGCGCCGTCGACCGCAGCGCTATTTGCTACCGCTGCGGTAACCCCGGCCACCGTGCCAAAGGGTGCACGAAGGCGGTGCGCTGCCCAGTGTGCGCCGAGGCGGGCAGGCCCTCTGGACATAAGATCGGAGGGCCTGCCTGCAAGCCCCCTCCTGGAGGGTAAAGAAAGGGGAAGAAGAAAGAAGGGAGCAGCCGGAAGGAAGTCACCGGTGGGGGGGAGGCCCGAACAGCCATCACCGGAGGACCGAACTCGACCAGCCAGGGGAATGGGAGTCGATAGGCCTCCCCCCCCACAGAAGGAAGAGACGGCCAGAACAATCCCCCTCCCCAGGCAGGAGTCCCGGAGGAAGAAGTGGACGTCGTCTCCGTGGACCTCATCAACCTCGGGTGGGAGCCGGAGATGGTCCACGAGTTGGAAACGCCTCAGCCTTGAAGGAAGAGGAAAGGAGAGGAAGAAGAGGCAGACAGGAAGGAGGACGACCCAGGAGAGGACGGACAGGTTAACAAGGTGAGGAGGGTGGAGACCTCGGGCCCACTCCCATCGGAGGTAGAGAAAGGGGAGTCGGTGGGAGCGCTGCCCCCGACTCCCCTATAGGATGGCTCCCCCTCGTGGACCCCCAGAGGAGGAGACCACGAATGTAGGGACCCCCCAAGTCTCCGCGGAGACACCCGTGATAGAGGCCACATTGGCCGAAACCCCCTCCGGGGAGACCATGACGGCAGTACCGTCAGAGGTCTCCCAAGAGGAGGGGGTTGAAGTAGGAAGCCCGTAGGAGGCGTGAAAGGCCTAGCCTACAGGCCAACCTCGGCCACGGCGCCCGGGCTCAGGATCTCTGTTTACAGAGAATGGCTGAGCTGGGCGCCGGGTTGGGGGTGCTCGCCGAGTCGTACTGGATGCCGGTAACCAGTACGAACTGGTACGGCAGCCCGGACGGCTCGGTGGCCATGGTGGCGAACCCTGCGGCGGGGACCCCTCCCTGTACTTTTAGGGAGAACGGATCCTCGTATGTGGCGGTCGATTGGGGGCCCATCACTGTGGTGGGGGTGTATCTCCCCTACCGCAGGAATAAGGCCGGTCTCGGGGAGCTCGCCCCAGTGAAGAGGGTCCTCGACAGGATCGGGGAATTGGTACGTAGGTGCCATCCCCGACCTGTCGTGGTTGCCGGGGACTTCAACGCCCACTCGGAAGGGTGGGGTTGCAGTCCCCGGCAAAGGAACCCTCGGGGCGAGTCCGTGATCGGCTGGGCAGCGGGGCTGAGCCTCCTGTTAATGAACAGAGGCTCAAACAGCACCTGTGTGTGGCCGGGGGGGAGTTAGGTCATAGATTTGACCTGGGCCACCCCCTCGGCCGCCGGGATGTTCCACGAATGGAGGGTGGAGGCGGAGGGCGAATCGCTGTCTGATCACAGACATATAGCGTGGGCCCTCCGCCTCCCCAAACCCGCACGGGTGCTGGCCCGCTGCCCTGGGGAGGGGAACTTTCCCCTCCCCCAAAGATGGGCCCTTAATGGATTCGATTCGGATAGGTTTCGGGTGGCCGTCCTTGCGGCCACCTGGCACCTAGATGCGGGGCCAGGTGAGTGGGACCCCAGCCCCGCGGACGGGGCTGGGGAAATAGTGGGCATCGTGGCGTCGGCATGCGATGTCGCGATGCCCCAATCCCACCCCCGCCGGCGCCGGGCCATGTACTGGTGGACGGAGGAGCTGGAGACACTCCGGGACTCCTCCGTCCGAGCCAGACGGTTGTATTACCGGGCCCGGCGACGAGGCGGGGATGCCGCAAGGACAAGAGAGGGCTACCTGCAAGACAGGAAAGCTCTCAAGGTCGCCATCGTCGAGGCCAAGCGAGCGGCCTGGGAGCAGATGGTGAGCTCCCTGGACGACGATCCGTGGGGGCGCCCATACTAAAGGGTCATGGGAAAGATCCGTCCATGGGCGCCCCCACCAACGGAGACGTTGAACCGCCAGACCCTCGAGGGGTTCCTGGACGCCCTATTTCCGAGGGTAGAAGGGGCCCCCACATGATCCCGACCCTCCTGCGGGGGGAGGGTGATTGGGACGAGGGTCTGGCGGTGAGTCCAGAGGAGCTCACCGCGGCCAGGAAAAGGCTCGGGGCCAAGGGGAAAGCCCCTGGCCCCAACGGAATTCCTGGCCGAGCCTGGGCCCTCGCCCTCGGCGAGGGAAACCTGTCCGAAGCCACGCGCAGGGTATTCAGCGGGTGCCTCAAGCAGGGGCTATTCCCCCCATAGTGGAGGAGGGCCAAATTGATCCTCCTCCCCAAGGAGGGCAAAGCACCCGGGATTGCGTCGGCCTACAGGCCGATATGCCTGCTGGACGAGGTGGGCAAGATGCTGGAGCGCATCGTTGCTAACCGCTTCGTCCAGCATCTGTCCTCGGAGGGACCGGATCTCCACGACCGCCAATACGGGTTCAGGCCCGGAAGATCGACGTTGGATGCTATCCAATGCTTCCGGGACCTGGCCCAGGCGGTCGTGGAGGAAGAGGGCGGGGTGTTGTTGGCGGTTTCGTTGGACATAACGAATGCCTTCAGCACCCTGTCCTGGCCGGAGATTGGGCGGGCCCTCGAACACCCATTGGGGTGCCCGCCTATCTCCGGCGAATAATTTCGGCCTACTTCGGGGGCAGGGACCTCGCCTTCCCGGAGGGCGGGGTCCAAGGCTGGCGCGCTATGGAGCGCGGTGTTCCGCAGGGGTCGGTTCTCGGCCCCCTGCTATGGAACATCGCGTTCGACCGGGTGCTGCGCACTCCGCTTCCCCCCGGTTGCCACGTCGTCTGCTATGCGGACGACACGTTAGTGGTAGCTGGGGGGAAGCCCGCCTCCTAGCGGAGACGGCACTGGTGTCGGTGGTGAGTACCATCAGCGACCTGGGTCTCAAAGTGGCGCCCCAAAAGACCCAGGCCGTGTTCTTTCACGGCCGGGGTCGGAGGGTGCCGCCTGGGACCCGGGTACTCGTAGATGGAGCCCACGTCCGTGTCGGGCCGACGATCTCGGCCTGACGCTGGACAGCCGGTGGAGCTTCGGACCCCACTTTGGGGAACTGGCCCCCAGGGTGCGCAAGGCAGGTTGGGCGGTGGCCAGCCTGACGCGCACACAAGGGGGCCCAGGATGGAGGATTCGCCGCCTGTACGTCACGGCGGTGCTCTCGATCCTCCTGTACGGGGTGCTCATCTGGGTGCCATAGCTGGGGGCCTGCCGCAGAGGCAAACATGCACTGCGGCAGACCCCGAGGCCCGTGCTCATCAGGGCGATTCGGGGTTACCGGACCGTGTCGTACATGGCGGCGACCTCCCTGGCCGGCGTCCCCTCTGTGGAGCTCCTAGCCGAGGAGCGGCATCTCCTTTACTGGAGAGTAAAGGAGCTTCACAGGGAGGGAAGAATGTCGGCCAG